TTCTACACGTCACCAGAACATAAACAACCGCAACACAATAAAAGCAGTGTTATACAAAATGGAAGGCCTGTAGTGTTTATTCTCTTACAGTAACAACTTATCAATTTTTTGGAGGAATTTATTTAAGATTTTTTGGTTTTTATTAATTGTGCAATAGAAAAATAATCGCTAGATTAATCATCTAAATAGTCATTAGAATAGTTGACTATTCGATAAAATAATCGTCAGAATAATCATTTTAAAAATAATCATTTACCCCCAACCCTACTTTTTTAGAATACCAGGGTAGGAAGGATGGTGTAGGTTTACGTTTATTAGATTGATACATAAATATTACCAATAAGAAAGTGTACGTTGGTGTGTGTCAGAAACAGCGTAAGGCTTAATGTCTTTTCCAAAAAAACCAGGTGATGGGCCGGTCTCCAATCAAAATGCCCGGGCTGAATTTTTGTCCCAGTCCAGCCCTGCCTGTGTTTGTGATATTATGAATGAAAAATGGAAGAACATTAAGATGTGATTGACTTTAGCCATGTTAATACAGTTGATTCAGCCCCTGCACGCTCATTTCATTTGGGAAAGACGCAGAGGTGAATTCCCCCGCCGCACCCCTCCCCTTCCTGTTCTTCATAGACACACGGTGCACGTGAACGTTCTCAGTCAGCAGGAGCGCCTGCAACTGCAGGGGGCGCCAACTTGCTGTTTCCAATCCAGACACTGTCATATGACAGATAATAGAAAACCTCGGTGCGGCGCAGATTTCCTTTTTTTTTTTTTTTTTTACTCAGCGCTTGTGCGCCCCTTTTGTGTCATGAAAAAATGCCGCCCCGGGCAACTGCCCTGTCTGCCCGTGCCTAAAACCGCTACTGCAACCACAGTTGCCCTGGGGCACACTGACAGAAACAGTTGGTGCAGCCACTGTCCCTCTGACCACCATCTGCAGTGTAGCAATTAATACATATCAATTATGACCAATAAGATGTGATGATTCCATACAAATATGAAATATCAATCTGAATGATCTTTGAATGTTTAATCAGAAGATTCTAGGGTTCTTTACTTCTTCAGGGACCATAAACACACTTCGTATTAATTCAGACAGAAACAAGTATATAGTTTATAAAATGAATTTAATTCTTTTTCCTAAACTAATGATTATACGTGACAAGATATGAATATTGAGATGTGGTGCATGTGAGGTGCTGTGAGGGAAGCTAGATGTTGTAGCAACCGTTCTTTGTATCTGAGAGAAATTGTGAAATCTGGGTGTAAAAAAAGTGTTGTTTGGTTCTAAACTAGAGTTGTTTATTAAAAACAGCATCAACGCAATCTGTCGTGCCAAGTCTACGCACCCTTGGTGTGGAGGTTCTCGTTCGGTTCACTGCCGGTGGAGGGAACTCTGATATCAGGAACCCGTAGATAGTTCCGATAGGACCCGTCCAGTCTGAGATCCCTCCAGGTGAAGGCAGGAGGCTGGAATGCTTATTTGCGTCTAAGGTTGATGTTTGTTTGGCTTAGAGATGGTTGTCTGGTATCAGCCGCAGCGTTGCAGAAAGGCTTTGACAGGAGGTCACAGAAGAAGATGGTTTCAAAAATGCTTCTTTCCTGAATTGGCCGGTTCGAGGGTCAGCCAGAAACTGAAATACTCGGGAATTAAGTCTTGTTTTATTAAACTACGTTGTTATGATTTCTGGCCAAGTTTGGCCAATCAGAATTGACACGTTTCTGAGTATTTACCAACATCCCTCAGAAAGCCACGCCCTCCTTCAGATACAAGATTGTTAACACTGTGAATATGAATCTTTAACCTTATGTGAAGCGTATGTTAACCTTAGTATGTAAATTATTGTGATGTGTACAGTATGAGTGTAAACAATGATTCACATGTTAAATCACACACTGATTTGTGACATAAATTTATATTGTAACAATATTCATTTTAAATTCATTCATTTAAGCACAGATTATTCAAACATTTCATGTAAACCTCTTGTTCATTCATCACACATGATTATTGTAAACTTGTGAGCTGTAAAATCGTGGAGTCTTCACTTATTCAGAGTGAAGAACGTTGATGTCTGGCGTTCACACAGTGAGTGCAAGAACCTTGGGTGAGAATGTTTGTTTGAATGTTTTGTCTTCATGGGAAGTAAACAAGCACTGCAGAACCTTCCGGGTTTGGAAGGCCAAACAGAAAGTGGATTCATTTCTGCAGATGAAAGGTCATTATGTTGGTCAATATATAGGTGAAAATGGCCCCTTTTGGTACGTTACAGCAGGCTTGCCCAAGAGCACAACTGACAGATCGAGCAGGGTGTGAACCTGCAACCCTCTGGTTACAGGATGGCTGGCATCTCAACTCCTCTGCTTCTCAGTAAGAAAAACTTATAAAACTGAAAAGTGTGAGTATGATATACAATGTTCTTAAGTAATATTTCTTCTCCAAAAATATGAATGATAATTAAAGAATTTCCTAACAGCACACAAAACAAAAAGACCTCTGACTCCTCCACCATGAGCTGGGTGATGATGGTCCCCAACGCTCCAGTGACCCGAGAGCGGTTCAGGTCTCACAATCAGCTCTTCTGTCCAGTTCACATCCTTCAGTTCAGCAAGGCCCACTGGGAGAAGAGCTTCTCTATGCGTGCACCTAAAGTCTGGAACTCTGCCTCTGCAGGTTAGGCAAGCGCCTTGGATTGCTGCTTTCACATCTCGTCTGAAAACGCACTATTTCTCCTTTCTCCTTGGCTTTTGACCTGGTTCTAGTATTAAGGCTTCAGGTTTTACATTTGTTGATTTTATGGTTCTAATTGCCTGATTGGCTTTTATTAGGGATGTTCTGATGCAACTTTTTCACTTCCGATCCTGATATTGCAGCCTTCAGTACTGATCAATACCGATATCGGTCCGACACAAAATCAGCACCAATCATACATACTTTTACATATTTCGTAGTGTGAAATGTATGAAAGACTTGATCAAGTGATATTACTCAGAGAACAAAAGCCACAGCAGTAAGCATGAAAAAAAACACAGTTTAAAAAGCATTGGTTGCATAAATATAAACCTTAAACATCATGTATGACAAATGATCATAATGATAAATAACAAAAAATATATTTTAAGTCAATAAATAAACAAAAAGATATATTTTTGAAGTGCATAATAATAATTGAAGGTCACTTTAGTTATGTTTTACTGTCAGCAAATGGTTGGAACTGCTGAGGGAAGGGACACGTGGAAAAACAACAATATTGTACATTGACCAACTGCTACAAGTTGAGTGTCCTAAGTTTCAATTTCACACACTGCAAAAATCCTTCTGCAGTGTTTTGTGATGCTGCTTCGAACGCACGATGAGGCTGGACGTATTAAACTGTCCTGCTTGTGTTGCACTGAGCCACACGGCCTTTTTCAGACTTTAATGGAGAATACTGCCACACGGCCGACATTGCTCTTGCTGCGCTACTTTGCTAGCATGCACTGTTCTGATCTTGTGCTTTGCACGCTGGATAGAATTGCTGGAATGAAATTTAAAGAGCAAGTCACCCCCTACAAGAAACTTACTTCACTCCCTCTTCATGTTTGAAAAATGCAACAAATGCTGTTGCCTAGCAGACCGAGACGGCGGAGCTGCTAACAAATACACACACACAACGGCATTGTGACATCATAATGTACCAGTTTACATCATAGCATACCTCTTAGCAGATTTAAATTCAAATACAGAGCAGAGTTTTTACCTGATGACGGCGCAACACTGACAGTTTTAGGCAGAATATTTAAATTTTAACTAAGATGCACTGAAGTACCAAATTATTGACCACACGTGTCTGCAGCGCGATTAGACACACATTTATATAGTTTATCAGCAAAAAAAAGTTGGTTTGGGGTTGACTTGCTCTTTAAAGCGGAACAGACCGCTAATATCGGAGGTTTTTGATGCAGTCCAATATAACCCAATACAGTGTTTTTGGGCCCACATCAGACCTATTTCTGACAATGATATCAGAATGGGACATTTTTATTCCTTTAACCATCTGTGTAATTGTTTACGCTTGTTTGTTTGTTTGTTTTTATCTGGTTAGCTGTAATGCTGTGTTGAAAGAGCTCAACACTAAATTGGATGTCAGTCATCAGCATCATCTGCCAGTTTTACCAACAGACCGCTAACTAACGTTAAACATGGTGGATAAATGTCACTGTTTTGTAGTTAAATCCCAACATGATCAAAACAAAAGAAGAAATTGAGTCTCTACGCGTCATTTTGTAGATCAATGGCTAAACAATGTTCCCGTCAAAGCATCAGTGTGTGTGATGCTACAATGTCCCTGGTGCCGTCAGCAGTGGGAGGATGTTTTATTTAACTAGGTAAACAGTATTACTCCTCTCAGGCCTTACATCAGGTGTTATGTTACTGACATCCAGACCATGTCTACAACTGAATCTGGACTTTCATTTTAATGTATTTTGTTGGGATTCAGACCAACAGGACAGATATTGAACCACCCTTTACTGTTTATTATGGCAAAACAACATCAGCTAAAGAGCAGAGTGTGATTAATGAGGACTACCAGACCTTAGTTACATCACACAGGTGTTTCCTCTTCAACTGTCCCACACCTGCCGAAAGCACGAATAGGAATGATCCGAGACGAGAAGCGGCTCCGCAGATGATGGAGGCTGAGTGGATCAGCAGATTACCGGAAAACACGCAAAAGACTGAAAACGGAATAAAAACCAGGAGAGAAAAAGGATTGCGTCACAAGCAGACGCTGACGTAATTGTGTTTGTTAGGAATCGGCAGCTGGATGCGGCCGATCGCATCAGGCCCTGCCGAGCACACAAAGAACCGCAACACCGGGAGCCAGACACCGGCCCGGTTCTCCTGCTCTCGGGGCACCGGAGCCGCAGCTCCATCCATCACGCACACACACTCACGCTCACCGGACACAGCATCCGCCTCCGCCGGCCTTCTCCCCAAGTATCCTCTCTCCACCTACCTTCAGATGAAAATCCAGTCGAATTTTAATCCATGATCAGCTGAAATCCGCCTCTGGCTCCGTTCTCCCGCTGCGGCGCAGGAAGGGCGACAGAATGAGCGATCAGGAGGCAGTCGGGTCCGGTGTCCTATCAGTGAGCCGGAGATGCGCCCGCCGAGCCCATAGACTCACGATGATCCGGAATCAGAATCAGCCCAAATGTGCGTGAGTGTGTGTGTGTGTGTGTGTGAGGCGGGGGATGTCTGCTGATCTACCCCCCTCTGGAGATACCTTCAGCACGAAGCTAAAGCCCTGGTCTAGTCCTCCATAACAGCACGGCCTTTCGGTCCTGCAATTTCTCCTCCACACGCACGCGCACACACCCGCACAGCGCACACACCCGCACAGAGCGCAGCGGCTCTTTATTTAAAGCGATAGAGCATAAAAGATCTGGATAGGATAGATCCATATAGAATAGATCCAGATACCAAATAGATCCAGATAGAATAGATCCACATACCAGATAGATCCAGATAGAATAGATCCAGATACCAGATAGATCCAGATAGAATAAATCCAGAGACCAGATAGATCTAGATAGAATAGATCTGGATACCATAGATCCATATACCAGATAGATCTAGATATAATAGATCCAGATACCAGATAGATCTAGATATAATAGATCCAGATACCAGATAGATCCAGACAGAATAGATCCAGATACCAGATAGATCTAGACAGAATAGATCCAGATACCAGATAGATCCAGACAGAATTGATCAAGATAGAATTATCCTATGTGCTGTCAAGAGCCCACCTGGAGCGGGTACTGCATGCCTTTGTTATTGCTAGGCTTGATTACTGCAACTCTCTCTATGCAGGGTTGTGTCAGTCATCACTGCGTCGCCTACAGGTTGTGCAGAACAGCGCAGCCAGGTTCCTGACTGGGTCCAGGAAACGGGACCACATCAGTCCGGTTCTGACCTCCCTGCACTGGCTTCAAGTTCGCTACCGTTCACAATTCAGACTCCTTGTCTTTGTTTTTAATTTCTTCCAGGGTGGTGCTCCCCCCTATCTGGCCACGCTCCTGGACAGACATTCCCCATCACGTGCTCTGCGCTCCTCTGACCAAGGCCTGCTCGTTGTCCCTCGTTCTAGGTGTCGTACTCGCGGGGACCGGGCTTTCTCAGTCCTAGCACCGTTACTCTGGAACCAGTTACCACCCTCAGTTAGGCTGTCCCCATCTCTGCCAGTCTTTAAGAGCCGCCTAAAAACACCTCCTCCGCTTGGCGTTCCCTGAATGTATTTGAGTTAGGCCGTCATTTATGTTGATTTTATCTCACAGTTTTCATTGGTTCAAATCTTCCCTTGTTTTACACATTTGTCTTCTACTATTTTTTGTAATTTGTAATCTGTAATTTGAATTGCTTTTATTTTCTGATTTATTCACTTTATTTTACTTTGTACTGTACCATGTTCAGCGCCTTGGGCTTCCTGACAGGGTTGCGGAAGGCGCTTTATAAATAAAGCTTTGATTGATTGATTGATTGATCCAGATAGATCAAAATAGAATAGATCTAGATAAAACATATCTAGATAGAACAGATCTGGATAGAATAAATCCAGATAAAACAGATCACCATATGATAGATTCAGATAGAACATTTCAACATTCAACAGATTACCATCCAACAGATAGAGGTAGGTACATTTCCTAACAAATGTGTTTGTTGGCTGTTTTGTCACTTGTAATTTCTGGTTTGACTTTTGCCTTCTCTTATTTTCTTACTCATCTAACCAGCACCTTGAAGGAACCTTTGTAATTTAGCTGTACCCACAGCTTTCTCTGTTGTACAACAACAATAAAAACTTCTAACTTCCGTTGTGTGCAAGTTTCCAGCGACAGGGAGGCTCACTGTTGCAACCTGGCCCTGGTTTGTCCTCGTGGATGAGGTGTTGGGGAGAGGCCTTCCACCAGGCCTCCTGTCCCCATTGCCTCCATCCCCAAAGACACTCCAGGGCCAAGTTCAGCAGGGGGAACCGGGATGACAGGGAGACGGAAGGAAGTCAGGAAGGAGCACATCAGAGAGGACATGAGGCAGCAACAGGAAGGCAGGACAGAGGGGAGGCCAGAGAAAAGACCGACAGAGAGAAATTATTTAGTTGTAACTTTGATTTATTTGTTCTTGTTGAAGTTATTTGGGTTATTTGTTTGAATGAATTACTTCATGTTAATGTTGTTATTTTAATACATTTATTACAACACATATTAACTGGTTACATATTGCCAGTTTTATCGTTTGCTGTCATTTTTAAACCCATAGAACATGAACAGAAGGGACGATAATATGGGGACAAATCTATTTATAAGATGCGAAATTATTTAAAGATTAAAACAAATACAATAAAAATCGTGACAGTTATTTACACTTTGTGCTGGATTCATTTGAGTGACTTTTTCCTGGACTGTTTATTTCAGAGGTAGACCACCTCGAGGGCCGGTATCCAGCAGGTTTTAGTGATCTCCCTGCTTCAGCACACAGATTTTAATCAGCGGGTGAATAATAGCTTCTGCGGAGCTTGATGAGCTGCTGAACTGCCGAATCAACTGTGTTGAAGAAGAGAAAAATCTAAAACATGCTTGGTGGAGGGACCGTCTACCCCTGGTTTATTCAAATCAAACGGGCAGAAAGTCTTTGGGAATGTTGCTGGATGTGCTGAACATGGATCCCAGACATGGATGGAGTGTTGGAACTGAGACCCGTGGCTGGACTTGTTGTGGTGAAGCATCGTAAAGGGTGGTCTGCAGAGTGCTTTAGGATGCTTCCTGCCACCGTCCACTCCATCAACGGGGTTTTTGGGCTGGCTCAATCAATGGCTGTCACTGCTGATTGCCTCCACACCAGCCTGTCCCCTATTTTCTGCATCATCTGCTTTAGCCTAATCCTCCAGGGTGATGATGTCACCAGCACTGAGGTAGCCCCTGGCAGAGCCCATGTAGGTGTTGATGAAGTGGCCCTGGTGGTCACAATCTGCCTGCAGGAAGATGGATGGAAGCAGTTTTCTGTTTCTGTAGCACTGACCAATAGGACTGCTGGGAGGCTTGATCCAGACGTAGAAGCCGTTGATTGCACCAACTGCCTTCTGGGAATGCTCTGTGGTGTTCCCTCCCAGCAAACTCACAAGACACAACCTCCAGATCCTCAGGAGTTTTAGGGAGGTGTATGACCTGGTGGAGAATGGCCACCACCTCCTCTGTGACTTGATGGACAGCAGAACGAGATACTCCAAACACACCTGAGATCACCCTGTAGGATGTTCTATCTGCCGCCCAGAAAGGAAACACCAATGTCTCAACTGTGGCGCCCTTAGTGGTCTAGGAAGGACCCAAATTATGCGGACTAGGTAAGATTGGTCCTCTCAAGCATCCTACCTGGACTGGGACACACGTCCGTCCTCAGAGTGTGGGGTGAACGGGCCATTCAGTTACTGTACAAATGATAAACGACCTGGGGACTCATTTATGAAGCCTGGTCTAAAAACTGCATGAATCATTTTCTACACGAACTTTGTGATGCATAAAGAAACACCTGGTGGCAAAATGTGGCAACTTTAAGCAAACTCTGACCCTGGTGTGAGAGCACAGACAAGAAACTTGTGTTTCAGCCAGTGAGGGGGTGACATGGTGAATTTAAGGTGAAAGTTAAAGTCACATAGTCATCACTAGGGATGGGTACCTTTGACATTTGAATCGATCCGGTACTAATTCCCGGTACCTAGGAATCGATACCGGTACTTAACAGTACCAATTTTCGATACTTATGAGTGTTTATTATTTTAATTCTCTTTTATAATTAAATATATATTTTTCTAAATATATAACAATATTTGATAAATATCACGATAAATAACATTCAACTGTTTGTATTTTAACATCGTTCTTGTAGTTTTATAAGCTGATAATTAAACTGAAGCAAACATCTTTACTGTGAACTAAATTTACTGTGTATCTTCATTCCTTTTGCCGTCCTTTTTCTTTGATTTTTCCTACTGGGAAGTTAGAATTTCCGAGGAGAAAGCGAACGCACCATTAGCTGATAACAATGGTGGCAATGGAAGCTAACATACCAAGCTAATGTCATCTTAAACAGTTTATTTAGCTGCTGGAGCAGATTAAAACGATGATGCCTCACACTTAAATCATTGTCACTGGTTTCATCTTCACCCAATCACCCGTCGCATTTAGTAAAGTGAAGCCAAACTTTAGAGCGCGTTCATGTTCTTCTAGTCGGGAATTTGGAGTTCCGAGGAGAAAGCGAACGCACCATTAGCGAAACGGAAGTTAACATATCAAGCCAATTATATTTACCTACCGGAGCAGATTAAGATGAGGATGTCTCACTTAGATCGTTGTCGCTGGTTTCATCATCACCCATTTACCCATCACATTTAGTGAAGTGGACCCAAGTTTTAGCATGCGTTCTTTCTGCCATGCTGCTCTGTTTACAACTGGCTCGCAGCGAGCGACGACATAACGCTCTTGCGCATGCACAGCTGTCTTGGCAAGTTCTCGTTATGAAGGACGGGTACCGAAACGAGGCACCATTTGAAATGATGTGAATTGGTGCTCGGTCGGTACTGTGGAATTCGGTCGGTACCTTAAAAAGTACCGAATTCGGTACCCATCCCTAGTCATCACACACTGGCGAAATTCCTCTCCACATTTGACCCATTCCGGTGGGGAGTGGTGAGCTGCAGACACAGCACAGAAACAGGTTTAACCCCCAATTCAACCCCTTGCATCCCATTTCAGTGGCCTAGTGGTAGAGCGTCCGCCCTGGGACTGAGAGATCGAGTTCAAATCCCGGTCGGTAAATGGCCTGTATTTGATATGGCGCCTTCTAGAGTCCTGGAACCCCTCAAGGCGCTTTACAACACAATCAGTCATTCACCCATTCACACACACATTCACACACTGGTGGGGATGAGCTACGATGTAGCCACAGCTGCTCTGGGGCGCACTGACAGAGGCTGCCGAGCACTGGCGCCACCGGTCCCTCCGACCACCACCAGCAGGCAACGTGGGTTAAGTGTCTTGCCCAAGGACACAACGACAGTGACAGACTGAGCGGGGCTCGAACCTGCAACCTTCCGATTACGGGGCGAGCACTTAACTCCTGTCGGTCGGGTCATGACGAAGACTTAAAAAATGTGACCCATTGCCTTCCTGCTTGACACTCAGCTTTAAGGGGTTGGATTGGGGTTTAAACCGCCAAACAGTACCTGAGCGCAGCCACAGCTGCAGCTCACCGCTCCCCACAGGGATGGGTGAGAAGCAGAGATGAATTTCACCAGTGTGTGACGATGACCATGGGACTTTAAAGCTGAGTGTCAAGCAGGGAGGCATTGATCCCGCTTTTAATGTCTTTGGTGTGACGTTATCGGGATTTGAACCCTGACCTCCCACTCCCAGGGCGAACACCATAGGCCACTGAGAAGGTTGTAAGACACATTTACAGACTTGTAGACACACACGCGCACACGCACACATACACACACGGGAAGCCAAAAGTGGGCCACCACCCCTGCCCTTGAACTGAGAATAAAAATGAGAATT